AGCCACCTGCCCAGCCTTTAGAAGCCCTGGTTGGGGGAAGAGCTGCCCCCACAGGTCTGTCAATAAACCTTCTGGCCTTCTTCATACCAGCCTGAAGTGTGGGATGCGCACCAAATCAGAGATGGACACAGAGCCCTGGCGGGGGGGGGGGGGGGGAGCACTGCCTCTGAACCCCCCACACCCAACCCACACCCACAAACCAGTCCATAAACAATGAACTCCGCCTCCCTGGAGGGTGGGTGCCTGGATCATTGGGGTAACCGCTAGCAAGGCAGGGTGCTGGGAATACAGGCTGGAGTTGAGACAGGCCCAGACCCAGTGAGGCCCTGCAAAGATGAAGAAGGGTACAGGAAGCTCCAAAGCCAGGGGGACCCGTTAGGATTCTTGCCCCTCCGAAGTTTCAGGATCCCTGATGACCCCAAGGAAGGAGGGAACAGATGTGGGGGACTCATGCTCAGGGCCTCCCTCAGTGTCTAGCTGGGGTCCAGGGTGAGGCCCAGAGCATGAGTTTTGTTTTCCATTTTTCTGGACAGAGTCCAGGCTCAGCCTTCTGGGCGCCAACGGGTCCTTCAAGATAGAAGCCCCCACAGGCCATAAAACACTCCTTGGAGCTCAAAATGTGCCCTTGCCCCAGCCCCTGCCTTCTGGAGAGTGCTGGCTGGACACTGTCCCCACAGAACCCATCCAGTCTGGCCCCTCTGTACACGGCATACCCAACCCACCAACCCTAGTCCCATGCCTGCCAACAGGAGAGCACATGCAACTTTCCCTAGCAAGAATGGAGGGTGTGATGCATCTGGAGGCTTCCCTGGGCACAGGCTTCAGGACACCAGCCTGGAACCACCTATCCTAACCCCAGTTCCTTGGTGCCCTTCACGGCTGGAAGCCTGTCATATCCCTAACCTGAGGCCAGTGACGGTGACTCTACAGTGGAGTTCTGCAGGACTTCTGTCTGTGCCCTCCTGGGGCTGACCAGCCATAGCCCAAGCCACTTTCTCACCAGATGAGAGGAGAAGGCAGGCTCCAGCAGCCCAGGCCAAACCCAGGCCCCAGGAGGAGGTGCTCCCTGAAGGGCATGGTCCCTGCCTCCTCTTCTGGCTGGTGGGCAAGAGGGGCAGGCCACTCTTCTAATCCCTGGCCTCAATCTCCTGCTAACAGGCCCTGGTACTCACTGGCCAAGGCCCTGCCTGAACTCCTGTGCACTGGCTGGACTTCTGTCCATCCTCCTCCCTTCCATCCAGTGAAGGGCAAGAGGGAGGAGGAGGAAGGATGGCCAGCAGCCAAGCTCAGCCAGCCTGGCTGGAGCAAGGTGGGCAGGAGGGGCCCTGGGGTGCCATGGCACAGCCTGGAGGTGCAGAACAGCTTCGGGGCAAAGCCTGGGCCAAGATCAAGTGAGATCAAAAAGCAGGTGCCTGGCAGATCCAGGCAGGAGAGCCAAGCCCAGGAGGTCCTTCTGGGGGAGGGAGACTCATGGACAGTATATCCTGAATGCAATTAAGAAAGACAGGTCAGGACACCTAGGGTGGCTCAGTCGGTTAAGTGACCGATTCTCTGATTTCAGCTCAGGTCATGATCCCAGGGTCCTGGGATCAAGTCCCAAGTTGGGCTCCCTGCTCATCTGGGAGTCTGTTTCTCCCTCTCCCACTGCCCCTCCTCTTCCCCCTGCATGTGCTCTCTTACTCCTGCCCTCTCTCTCTCAAATAAATAAATAAAATCTTTTAAAAAAGAGAAAGAGGAAGGGAGGGAGGGAGGAAGCGGGGGGAGGGAGGGAGAAAGGTCAGGGGAGCCTGGGTGGCTCCGTTGGTTAAGACACTGACTCTCTGATTTCTGCTCAGGTCATGATCTCAGGGTCGTGGGATTGAGCCTGCCTCAGGCTCCAAGCTCACAGGGAGTCAGTTTCTCTCCCTCTCCCTCTGGCCCACCCCCTGCTCATGCTCACTCTCTCTCTCTCTAAAATAGATGAATAAATCTTTTAAAAAAGAAAGAAAAGACAGGTCAAGGGTAGCTGCTCCTCCCACTCCCCAGACAAGCCTGATCACCCTGCACCTTGCAGTGCGGACCACCTCCCTTCGCCTGACCACCAGATGGTGGAGTAGAGGCCGGAGGGAACCTAACAGTACCACTAGCCTGGTGAGAAGAGCGGTCAGGTGGAAGAAATGGCCCCCAGGCTTTCCCGGCAGAATGGACAGCAGCCATTCTGTGACCCCCAGCCCCGGAGACCACAGAGGCCACACGCCTGTCTTTCAAGGCGAAGTGCTCTGGAAACGTGGTTAGCTCCCAGGACGCCGCAGGGGGCTGGGGCCGCGCTCAGACTCCCGGTGAGCCTGCCCCTGGCCAGCCCCAGGCAGTGAGCGCCCGCAGCGTGAGAGCAAAATAAACGTCCTTGAACAACACGCCGGGAACGCCCCAGAATCTTGGCTCTTGCAACCCTTTACCTTGCGCGCCGCGGTGTGTGCGAGAGTCGCCACATTTGTCCCGGCCGCCCCCTCCGGGGCCACACCCTGTGCAGCCGCGTCGCCCAGCCCACACCGAGCCTGACTGCAGGATAGGCCTGGCCCGGCCGGGATGGGGGTTCTGCGCCCGGGCGGAGGGCAAGACCCCCCCTCCCTCCGCCCCGACAGCCCAGGTTCGCAGGCCCCGGGGACCAGCGTGGCGGGCGGGGCCGTGAGGCGGGGCTCATTTGGGCGTGGCTTCGAGAGGCGGTGCCTCTGGAGGGCGGGGCTTGGGGCCGGGGATCAGGGGTGCGGCCGCGGGACAGGCCTCCGGCGGGCGGGGCGCTGGGGCGTGGCTACGCGTCTGGGGGCGGGGCTGCGCGGGGCGGGGCCTCCATAAAGCGGCGCGGCCGGCGGGCCCCCGCTCCCCGTCGGCGCCGAGCATGGGGGTGGGGGCGCCGGCCTCCCGGGCGCTTCTACTGCTGCCGCCGCTCCTGCCGCTGCCGCAGGTGGGTGGCCGGCGCTCGGCTCGGGCACCGCGGGGCGGGTCTGCGCTCGGCGCGCCCCCGCCCGGGCTCACCCCTGTCCCCACAGGTGGCGCTGGGCTTCGCGGACGGCAGCTGCGACCCGTCGGACCTGTAAGTCAGGGGGGTGGGAGCCGGGGCCTGGCCCCGCCCTGTGGGGGGGCTCGGGCGGGGCCGTCGGCCCGGAGGGTGCCCCGCCTGCTCCAGGTGTCGCCGTCCCCGCAGGTGCCCGCCCCAGGCCCGCTGGAGCAGCCTGTGGCACGTGGGGTAAGTGCAGGCCGCCTCGTTCTCCCCCGGCCAGGCCCACCAGACCCCCACCCCTCCTGGCTCACGGATGAGGAGTCGCCAGCGCTGTCCCCTTCCGGGCGCTGATAGGAAGGCGCCGGGGCCCTCAGCAGCCTCCCAGGCTGGCCCCTGCTTCCTGCCCTCAGCACCAGGGCGGCCTCTCTTGTGGGCCCTGCCCCAGTCCGGGACTGCTCTGGGCACGCAGGCCCTTGGCAGGACTTCCCTTCATAGCCCGCTTGCCCACTTCCCAGCCCCTCCTTCCTCACCCCTGCAGGAGGCCCCTGTGGACATGGTCATTGGTCTGGGCACAGGATTGTGCGGATGGCCTGGGACGGTGTGTCCTGGGAGTGAGCCCAAGGCACTTGTGGCCAGGCCTGGAGAGAGCCAGGACAGGCCCGGCAGCAGGATGCCAGGACGGCGGGCTCCTCGGGCCCAGCTCTGGCCTGGAAGGAGGTCTCCAGCCTGGAGAGACATTCTCTGGTTTTCTTTTGTCCTGCCCATTGTCCTGTCTTGGGTGGTGCCCAGCGGCCTGGGGTCAGTCCAGTGGTAGGGTCTCGCTCCTCCCTGCACAGGCTTATCTTACTCGCTGTCCTTCTGCTGCTGCTGTGTGGGGTCACAGCCAGCTGTGTCCGGTTCTGCTGCCTCCGGAAACGGGTACACAGCCAGCCACACCTGCCACCAACACCTCAGCCTTGTGACCTGACGGTCAGCCCTATGGATAGTGACAGCCCAGTGCACAGCACGGTGACTTGTGAGTGCCTGCAGACCTCACCTGTTGGCTTGCCTGCCTGCAGGGGGGAGTGGGGGGCAGGTGAGAGCAGACTCATCCCCACAAACCCGCTCTGGTTCCCTGCAGCTTACAGCTCTGTGCAGTACCCGCTGGGCATGCGGCTGCCCCTTCCCTTTGGGGAGCTGGACCTCGACTCCATGACCCCTCCTGCCTACAGCCTGTATGCCCCTGAGCTGCCACCCTCCTATGAAGAGGCTGTCAAGATGGCCAAACCCAGCCAGGAAGAGTCACCCCCCTCTTAGTAACCCGGTCCTCTCCCTGGGGCCTGAGGCCTAGAGATACCGGCGGGGCTCCAGGAGCCAGGCACCGATGCCCAACACCCCTGGCTAGAGCCCTGGTGCCCCTCCAGGGCAGAGGAAAACTCTCTTGAACCTCCCAATTCTGCCAGCTACCCTGTGCTCAGAGGGGACTGGCGCAAGGACACTTGCAGCCAGGGACCCCCCCAGCACACCCCTGCCATCCGTCCCCAGGGAAGGCCAGCCCCCCCAGCACATTGCCACAGCCCCGGCCTTGCTGCTATGTAACGCCAGGCAGCCCAGCCAGCTGGCCCTGTGTTGACCACACACATGCACCCACACACATAGGCTGCCTCATTCAGCCCTGACCCCACGGGCCTAAGCCTCAGGGCTCAGGGCTGGCTGTGACACCCCCAGCTTTTTGGAGAGAGAATAAAGTTTGTACCTAAGTGACCTCCATCTGTAGGAAAAGGCCCTGGGAGGGGCCTGTGGGTAGCCACCCCCCAGTGCGGGCAGAAGGGCAAGTGGTAGTCTTCGACCTGCCCCCGATCTGGCTTTCAGGCTGGTGTCCAGAGCCCAGAGCTGAGCAGTGGGTGGTGTCAGATGTCACAGCAGGAGTGACGGGCCATGTGCCGTGGCTGCCCTAGGAAAACCCTCTCCTTTCTCCAGTCCCAGATCTTTGCCAGCCTTTCTGGGCGAGGGAGGAACACACAGTAGTCTGGCAGGAGCGTTTATTGGCCAGAGGTGGGGTTGGGTGGCGTGGGCGGTGCTGTGGGGGCAGCAGCAAGCAGTGGCCTTCCTCGGGCAGGCCTCCCATGGCCACAGCACCTGCTCCTACTGGACCAGCTTGAAGGACTCTCCGGTCATCATGGCCACAAACTCTGGGAGCAGAAGGACAGGTCAGCCACCAGCCTGGCCCAGCCACCCGGCTCCCAGGCCCGTCCCTCACTCACCCTCGTAGTCAATGGTCCCATCCCCGTCCTTGTCAGCCTCCTTCATCATCTGCTCGGCCTCTGCCTCATTGAGGGGCTCACCTGCGTTCATGAGCACGTACCTGCGGGGCCCCCACGCTGAGTGGCAGCGCATAGGGTTCTGGCCCTCGCCCACCCCCTCCCCAGCTCCAGGCCCTACTTGAGCGTGTCCCAGTCGATGTAGCCCTTGCCCTCCTTGTCGAAGACACGGAACGCTGCCCTCAGCTCGCCCTCCTGGTTCTGGGCCTTCTCCCAGTAAATCCCCATCAGGGCCAGGAAGCTGTCACAGTTGAAGAATCCTTTGTCTGCAGGGAGCAAGCAGCAGGGTGGGCCGCATGAGGGTGAGCTGGTGTGGCCCTCCCCGCTCACACAGGTGACCCCCCCCCAGGACTGCCCCCTGCCTGGCCTCACTGTCTCTGTCCACGTCCTTGGCCATGGAGGCCAGCTCACTCTTGGTGGGATTGATGCCCAGCAGGCTCATGAGCCGCTCCAGCTCTCCAGTCTTCACCTCCCCGTTGCCCTCCTCGTCGAACATCTCAAAGACCCCCTTGTACTCCTTGATCTGCTCGGCTGTCAGGCGCTCCGTCTGCAGGGACACCGGCCTAGCTTCACCGGGGCCTCCTCTGCCCCTCAGTCCAAGGGAGGGTGGAGGCCCCAGCACCCACGGCACCCCACCCTGTCCATCCACCTGGCAACCCTTCCGGGCCTATGGTTAAGGAAGGGGGCCCCAGCCCAGAGCAGCTTCCAGATGAGGTGGCACAAGGGATCGGTCTCGAGGGCTGAGTGGGACTGTGTCAGGTAGCTTCAGGGGAAGGACACATGAGGCAGAGGCCAGGTGCGAGGCGCCAAGGCTCAGGCCAGCCACGTGAGGGAGTGTCAGGCAGGCCCAGGCTCTGGGGCGGAGGCAGAGGACACCAGGTGAGACCAGGTGAAGGACGCCATGGGGGAGCATGACCCGGGTGAGAGTGAAGGACCCCAGCCCGTTCTGGCGTTTCTGGGGATGGTCTCTGGCCCCTGACCTCCCCTGCCGACCACTGCCATGGCAGCTTTCGGAAGGGCCCCCCCATCCCGGCCACCAGAGCAAGGGTGGAATCGGCAGCCAGCAGGGCTCAGCCTTGGCCGCCGCACTCTGCCCTCTCCCTCCAGCCCTGCTGAACTGCTCCCTCGATTCCCGGGGAGGCAGTCACGCTCCCGGGTAAAGGCCCTGTCCTGTCCTCTGTCCCCCCGGCCCCCGCTCCACCACCCAGCCAGCCCACCAGGGGCTCTGCCGGGTGCCGGGAGCAGCCTTACCATGTCTGTGGCCGGCCGGGAGAGCACTGCACAGGGGCACTAGCGACCGGGGGCAGAGGGGTGTCAGCCGCATTTTAGCTGGGCCCAGCTGCCTGGGGTCCCCAGAGTCCAGATTCCAAGATCCTTGTATGGCTAGGAGATCCTGCAGCCCTATTTTGGGACAGGCTTGGCCCTTCCCCACATAGCCCCTTTCTGGCCCTCCTTGGCCTGAGCATCCCCTCACCCTGAAGCGCCCTTTCGGATCCTAGGTCCTGGCTAAGGCCCTACCCCAGCCTCAGCCCTCTGGAGCCAAAGCCCAGATAGACAGCATGGGCTGAGGGCCAAGGGTAGGAAAGGGGCTGCTGGGTGGCCCGGGAGGCCCAGAGTGTTTGTACACGTGTTCTCCCTTTGCTGTCTCCTCTTCACCGTGTCAGCCTCCTCGAATCTCCTTCTCGGCAGTGGCTGCCCTTCCACCGTTCTGCCGCAGGACCCTCACACGGCCTGTCGTCACTCACGTACGAGCGTTCTTTCTGAATGCCCACCCTGGCCCCGTGACACCCCCATATCCCTATGGGCCCAGTGCTTTGCAGGCAGTCTCTAAAGACAGGTTGAGAGAACGAATGCATCCCTCTGGCCACCCTGTGCAGAAGGGGCTGGAAGTCGGCAGTCCGGGGAGGAGACAGCTGGACGTGGGGTGGGGGCCAGAGGGCAAGACGGACAAGACCAGGGGGCCAGACTGGCTACCAGGAGGCCAGACCAGGTTTCCTCTGAGCAGCCAGGGGCTATTCTGGGGTTTCTCAGAGAAACCTGACCTCCCTTGCACTCAGAACAGCAAAGCTGGCTCCCGAGGGAGGCTCAGGGCCTGGCCGTTCCGTGACGAGCTGCCTGGACAGCGTGCACACATGACTGCGCACGCGCGCTCAGCCCTCGGGCCCAGGCAGCCACCCTCCCCTCCACCGAGGGCCTCCTCCCTCCCACCCCGGCCCGGGGCACAAGACCCACTGGCCTGGCCACAGGGCTCCGAGGCTTGCGGTTACAGGTGGGAGCCTTGTGGGTTGAGGGGACTCCTCCCATCCCGGCCTCCAGCTCCCCCCAGGGATAGTCACAGATGGGTGCCCCCACCTAATACCCTCACGTCTGTGCGTGGCCCCCCAGAGTCACACACACACACGGCAGCCCCAGCCCATGACTGCCCGGTGATCTGAGCAGGTGGGATGTGCCCCCACCAGCCCGGCTCTGGGCCTGCCCGAACGTCTGAAGCCTCCGGGACGCTCCCCACTGAGGCCCAGGCCAGCTGCTGAGGCCGCAAGATTTGTGCTGACGGACAGCATGGCTCCGGCGGGCACCAGGCCAGAAGGCCCAGGGGACAGGGTTGAAGGGGAAGCGGGCTCCAGGTCTGGGGGGTGGCCCCCTACCTTTGCCCTGGCTACTCTCTCTGGTTCTGGTTTCAGGCTTTGTGATGATGAGAAGAGACTCTCCCACGCCCTTCCCTTGAAAACCTCAAACTAGAACAGGAGTCAGAAACATTTCAGTAAACTAGTCCCCTCTACAAGCCCAAACGTGAGGCAGGAAGCCAATGGGCGCCGGCCCCGAGACAGGGCAGGGCCTGAGGAGAAAGCAGGCACGAAGGCTAATTTCACGTGTACCTAGACTGCAGAGCCCAGACTTCTGCTCAGACACTAGTCTAGATGTCGTTAAGAAGGGGGTTTTGTTCAGGGACACCTGGGTGGCTCAGTCGGTTAAGCAGCTGCCTTCGGCCCAGGTCATGATCCCAGGGTCCTCGGATCGAGTCCCTCATTGGGCTCCTTGCTCAGCAGGGAGCCTGCTGCTCCCCCTGCTTGTGTTCGCTCACGTGCTCTCTCTCTCTGACTAATAAATAAAATCTTAAAAAAAAAAGGGGGGGTTGTTCATATATTTATTGATTACAGTGGCGAAATCAACATGAAATATTACTCAGGGAGAACTGACATTTACTGAACATCTGTTACATACCATGATCTTTTTTTTTTAATTTGGTAAAAAAAACAAACAAACAAACATATAAAACTGACCATCCTGGGGCGCCTGGGTGGCTCAGTCATTAAGCGTCTGCCTTCGGCTCAGGTCATGATCCCAGGGTCCTGGGATCGAGCCCCGCATCGGGCTCCCTGCTCCGCGGGAAGCCTGCTTCTCCCTCTCCCGCTCCCCCCGCTTGTGTTCTCTCTCTTGCTGTGTCTCTCTCTCTCAAATAAATAAATAAAATCTTTTAAAAGAATAAAAATAAAATAAACCAGTAGACTTTGAATAAAGCGGATGACCCTCATAATGTGGGTGGGCCTCATCCAATCGGTTGAAGACCTTAAGAGAAGAAGAGTGAGCTCCCCAGAGGAGGGAATTCTGCTCCAGAGGGCCTCTGGGTTCGAGCTGCAATATCAGCTCCTCCCTGGGTCTCAGGCCTCTGAACTCACCAGCCCCACAATCGCCACAAAGGGACCCAATTCCTTAAAATAAATCAACCTCTCTCCCTCACTCTCTCTCTCCCTCCCACTCCTACTGGCCTGTTTTTCTGGAGATTCCGACTGATACAGAAGGCCACTGGAGGCAGTATGCCCCAGGAACCTGGGCATCTGTGTCTGGGCCTTCGGGACCACCCTCCCAACTGCAGGGCACGTGGAATTTCCTCTGGGCAGGAAGGAGGCATGGACACCTGAAGAGAGCACCTGGACTCACAGACTGGAAACCCAGGCCAGGGTGTAGTGAAAGGCTGCGTGGTGACAAAGCCATCCCAGCCCTTCCCCACCAGCAAGTGCCTCCCCAGTGACTCCTCCCCGGAAGAGCGAAGAAACCCATAGACGCTGGCGCTGGGGGGGTCCCCTTCCAGGGCAGCCTCAGGTACAGACCCAGGTCGCCGGCCACTGTGGCCCCAGGTAGAACCTCTGAACAGGTCATTTCACGCAGGCTGAGTCCCCATGGCTGGCCTGAGGCTTCGGGCAGCACAGCCGGACTTCCCTCTGCCCGATCCTGCCCCCTCCCTGTCTCTGGCGTTGATGCCTTGTGCACAGCTCGTACCCAAACTCCATCTCGGGGTCAGCTTCCGTGGGACCCAATGCACAGCCAGAGGGGGCATTAGAGATGGATGCCTCACCGGTCGGCTGCGACAAGGCACCCTGGGAGTGGGCACACATTCCTCCCGGTGGCTCACCTGCTGCGACGGTCACCATCCTGGATTGGGCACGAGGGCGACAGGAGAGCAGGTGGCGGCTGCCCAGCACCTGACCTGTTGTCAGGACCCTGCTGGGGAAAGCTGGGACCTTGCCATGTGTGTGGGGACATCCGGGTGCCTGTCCCCCTCAGCTCTAAGGCCCAGACTCCTCTGAACCTTCTGCACCTTCAGGGTTTGCTCACCTCTCCCTGGGAAGAGCTGCACCCCCGCCTCAGCTGAGTTAGAATTCTGAGGCCTCCCCACCAACCCCCCCAGGCAACATTTATCCCCGTTAGGACATCCACCTCCCCTCCTAGGCACTAGGCCAACAACCAGGGGTAATTTGCAGCATAACCCAGCTGGGGACGAGTTGGGTCTGACAGCTCAAGGACAGCAAAGGATGAAGGGACCAATGGACCGAGCTGGCAGGAGCTGGGGGAGCAGGGCAGCCCCAGGGGCTCCTTTGAGGGGCTGGAGCATAACCGAGGCAGGCGTGAGACTCTACACCTACCAGTGGTTCTCGTAGCTGCCCCTCTTCCTGCAGCTTCCGCCTGAGGCGTCCTAAACCAGCACAGGGCAGGCCCCAGGCCGGGACCCACACTCTGCACGGCGCCTGCAGCCAGCCTCCTTGCCCACCAGCAATGGCGCTGCGCCCGTGACACGGTCTCCTCAGGGTCCCAGTGTGCTGAGCCCCATTCGTTGCCCACAGCGTCCCCTGCTCAGCCCCAGGAATGCCCCCTTCCCACCCCTCTTACCTCCTACAACCCCAAGAAAAACTCCGTGTCCTAGTCTTGAGTCTTTGTTTCGGGGTCTGCTCGGGGGAGCCCAGCCTGGACAAGGGGCGTAAAAACAAACCCCAGCTCTGGACCAGCAACCACGGCAGATGGGGAAGGGATGCGAGTGTAAGGCCCCGGCAGCGTTCAGGAACGGCCAGAGCTGGTTGCTGACATTACAATGTATGTGGAACTTTAAGTTAACCACTAAAATAACAGAAACGGATTGTGTAACTTCCATATCTAGGAGGGAAAAAGGAATAAAGAAAATGTAATGAACCCAACAGAACTCAGGAAAGAAGACGGAAGCCTAAGAAAAGCAGCATAACTAGAAAGCAGCAAGTAATGTCGTAAAAGTAACCCCAGCCACCTGACAGAGCTCCCGGGGGCTGAGGCTGGGACAATGTGAGCAAGAAAAGAAATCAAGTAGGATCAGATTATGACCCAAGAATAAAATAAATATCCATTGTGCATCAAAGCACACCATCAACAGGGTGAAAAGGCACCCCACAGACTGGAAGAAAATATTCACAAATCACATATCTGATGAGGGATTATTTATTTATTTGAGAGAGAGAGAGAGCATGAGCAGGGGAAGAGGTAGAGGGAAAAGCAGGCTCCCCGTTGAGTAGGGAACCCGACGCGGGGCTCGATCCCAGGACCCTGAGATCATGACCTGAGCCGAAGGCAGACGCTTAACTGACTGAGCCACCCAGGCGTCCCTGATAAGGGATTCATATCCAGAATATTTAATCCCTACAGCTCAACAGCAACAAAAATAAACAACCCAATTCACAAGTGGGCAAAGGACTTGAATAGACATTTTACCAAAAAAGATACACAC